ACACTCCTGTTATTTAGCTCTCATGTGTTTTGGTTGTTATTTTGTCAGCATATGAATTAGATAAAACAGGGCCATAAAATAAAATGTGCCACTTGAAATGACCGCATTATCTGCATCATCCCAAATGTGAAATAGTGTGGAGTTAGATTAATGGGTGATCTGCTTCAGGGTGTGGACGGCTTAAAAACATGTAGAGTTCGAAGGAAACCTACAACGGGAAATCCACAGAAAGAAAATCCACCTTTTGTACTGACCCAGACAGAGCTTTATTAATAAATAATGTTTCCCTTGCAATTCATCCACTTTAGCGCCATGTTTCAGGCCATAATGATCCAAAAATATATTTTTAATTTCCAGTGGAAAGTGGAACATTCCACATGCATGTATGTGTTTCGTTCACCCTCAGTGTGACCTGACACACATGCAGCGAGAAGCGACCATCCTAAAGCAAATGTTACTCTACTATTTTACGTTATTTATAGATCAAATTGTCTTGCGGGCCATGAGCAGCCCAGAAGCCTGAGCTTAGCCATAACCAGGCTACATGCTGAGAAGGAGCAAACAAATAAGTGTGAGGAAGCAAAAGTTGCTCTCGTCTTTTTTGTTTGTGCCTGCAGTTCTGTACTATACCCTCAGTCTGCGCTCCCCTGAGTTGCCCTACTTTAATAAGAGAAGAATGTGGCCAGAGTTAATGATATCTTGTATTAATTGCACTGTGACTGTGGCCAGGCTGCAGACATTAATTGGAACATTATGTGAGAATGAAGCATCTAATGATGCACTGGTTTGACCATATGCTCGCGGGTCTAATCCCTCTATGGTAAGCTTTGTCACAGTGCTAAATGGTTACAAATCTGAGCTCTCCATTGAGAACTAATATGCATAGCAGTGACTCAAGTCTTATTACAGTCCCTCGCTGCCGTACGACCATTTGAGTGACCCTATGCATATTCATTTTGTATTATTAAAGGAAAAAAGGCTATTGTATGTTTTCCCAGTATAGGCACAATGCTGTCAACGGTATAATTACACCATGATGTTGTATGTAATAGTAAACTATTGACCTCAAAAAGGCAGCTAGTAGGAAACTAAGACAGTGATACAGTGTATGTACCTCCCTCTGTGCATAGTCCACTCTGTGCGTGTGTGTGTGAGAGAGAGAGCGCGCGAGAGAGAAGCAGAATGAGATTACTCTTGGGGAAACAGAGGGACACTCCTGGTATTTTGTTTGGAGGAAATAATGTGCTAGTATTCAGCGCCCCTTGTTTTGCAGTAAATGTATGCAGAAGTGGTAGATCTGTACTTCTCTGCTGGTATTTCCATAATCTTCACACAGCTCTGTGTGCTGCTGTGTGCAGGAGTGAGGTGATGAAATGATTATCAGGCTCTAGTCGTTTCACTAGTTGTCACTTTCTTCTGTTGACCAGCGGAGCAGAAACTGTTTTTTTTTGCTACGGCCTGGCATTTGCCTGGACAGCTAAAGAACATGGACGTTTTTGAAATGTTGGAATTAAATGTCACCCAGTCCCAAAGTCTCCTAGATACTGTGGCCAGGATCAGCCAGGTCAGAGGGGTTCCTGAGAGGATGAGTCTGACATTAGTCTATATATTCCTTCCTCTCAGCAACACAGATGTGAGGCATTTTTAACTACTCTGACATTTTCGCTTGTCAGTGTTGAATGGAACAGACTGCACTTCAGTTATTTAGCTCCTATGTGTTTTGGTTATACATTGTATTTTTATTTTCACCATATGAATTAGATAAAACCATAAAATAAAATGAACCATTTGAAATGACTGCATTATCTGCATCATCCCAAATGTGAAGCAGTGTGGAGTTACATTGATGGGGGGCTGCTGATCTGGATCACTGTGTGTACAGCTTACCAACATGAACCAACAATGACCCTAAAAACTGAAGGAAACCTACAACAGGATGACTCCAGAGAACCATTGCATATTATTATATTAAGCCTGTAAAAGCCAACTAAAGATAAAAATTATACATATTTTTTACCTGCAGATGTTGTAGTGGAGGCCTTTGATGCAGAAATAATGGGTTTTCTACTTTTTAGTAAGTTTTTAATCAATTATAATATTGCAATATTAATCCTCATTGGGAGCAGCATTTCTGTATTTGCACCCACACTTTCTGAACAAATATGCAGAAATATGGGCTAAAATACTATTCACAAATCTGTGTTATCTGATTTCATTTCAAAATCATTTGTGAGTAATCGTCATGATTGCGTTTGATTTCTTGCTGCTTTGGGTTAGCATGGAAATCGGCAAACACAATATACATTATTATTATCTCATGAATGCATGCATTGAGCAACGTTCACAGTCTTCAGAGCCATGCTTCTAGCCACCTGTCAAATGTAAATCCAGTATTCACTCTGCATTTAACTGGTTTTTTTAGTCTCTGTCAACTCCGATGCTTTATTTTCCTGAAAAGAGCTGCCTTCTGTTGGAAAACATTAAAGTTGTGAGCTGTCAACCAAACCAAACTGCTTTGAGACATTACAATGCTCTGCAGATCTGAGGGGAACTGCAGAGTCAGGTGATTATTCTCTGTGGGCTTGCCAGTGCGAGTTTTGCCTGTTCAACGCAGCTTTTATAAGCCCTTAACCTGAACTGAGTCTAATTTAGAATTGTGCTGATTGTATGAAATAGCGATTTATCCATTTAAGGATCCTAAGTGTTGAGACAAAATACTGTAGTTCACCTGCATGCAAAGGCAATCCACAAACATGCTGAGTGGTTAGTCCCAGAGATAAATCTTTTTTTTTTTTTTATTAGCATTATATTAATTTCTGAGGTGTAAATTAGATAAATAAGAAAGCAATAACAACTAACAAAACTGGGAGAGAGACATCTGGTTAGGTGAGATAACTCAATATGCAAGATAATGGCATATTAGGCTTCTTCACCTTATACTGAATAATGGGCAACTGTAAGTAACGATCTGACTCCGATGTTCCATCACATCTGTCTTGCTTGACATAGGTCTTATATTTCTTTCATTCTGGTCTTGAAGAAGTAAAACATCTTAAAGTAACTTGTTAAAACTTGCAGACACCCTGCTTACACATTGGATAGCTACAAGTTATCCGGAAAAAAAAGCCAACTTAAAGTCAACCTGCCACCTCACAGATGGTTTGAACCAAATATTGTCCATATGTCCTGAAGGGATCCTTTCTGTGTTGCTTGTTTCATTAACAGCACTAATGTTGGCTCTTATCACCAACAAGCTCTAGAATCTCGTCTTCATTGATGACCTCTACCTGTATGGCTCCTCCTCTGTCGCCTGTCAGAAATGTCATCAACGCACCCACTCGCTTGCAGTGACTCCTCCTGTTGTATTATCGCATGGGTTTTTACCAAGGGGCTGCCAGGATAAACTTGGACAACAGAGAATGTGTGCAGCAACTGACTTTGACATTTCTGTGTAATTGCAGGAGATTATTGCAGCAGTTGAAGACAAATCTATGATTTGGGCTGTGAAATCCAATCTGGCTTTCCTTGACTTTGCTACCATTTTTTCAAAAAATACTTGGTCTTTCTTTTTGTTGGAAGAGTCAATTCAGTTTGACTTTCTAGCAGTACCTTTAACCTCCTTTTTATTCTCAAAACATACTGAGGTACCTGCTCAGCCTCTGTTGTGTGCGTGTGTTTGTACCCTCTCCGTGTTTAAAGAGTGTTGAACCTTCGAATGTGTTTATAATTTCAGGGAGTTCAGCCACTGGAAGGTGAATAGCCTGGCCACGGAGAAGAGAGATTTCCTCAAAGCTCCGTTGCCCTTAGCACCAGAGTTCCTGCGCAACCTCCGGTTACTGGGGCGACGACCAACCCTGCAGCAAATCCACGAAAACCTCATCAAGAAGTATGGGACCCACTTCCTAGTTTCTGCTACCCTGGGAGGTAAGGAAGGACTGCAGGTGTCACCTTTATTCTCACGTAAGGAGGTGTCGGGACACACCAGAAATAGAGCCTCAGAGGAGTTATGGCGTTTGTTAGAGAAGTGCTGGTGGAAGCACAGGATGTATTGCTTCTCTTTCCTTTCAAGGAAAAATGAGAGAAAAGCAACAATTGCAAAAACGCCATACCTTGCACCCCCAGCATTCAACCAAGGTTGTTTTCCTCAGATTTTTCCTCTCATCTTTCCCTCTGATGAAAATTGTGCACAGTGGCAAGAGCCTCACAAAGCAGAGAAGACATTTAATTGACCCATTTCTTGGTATGTGTCTCTCCCTTTATTGGATTTCTTTTTATTCGGGATCTCAGAGGAGAGAAGTTACTCACAAAACAGAATTGCCAGCGGTATCGATTGCGTGCTCCTTGTGTTGTGTTCAAAGCGTCGGCGTCATGACACTGACCCACTGCTGATCCTGGTCCTCACCCAGCAGCACAGATTCTGTAACATGTGTTCACATCTTTACAAATTTAAAGTGTAGAAAATTGATAGTGAGTCAGAGGGAGATTTGCAAGCCAAGGGTACCAAGGCCAATTAATGATGCCACTTATGATAGTCTGTGAATACGTATGATATTCGGGGGATACGTAACTACAAGAGATATAATAGACTTTAATTTGACAAAAGACTACCTTTTAATTCTGAAATTCCCTTCACACCTTCACCTAGCAGTTCTGTCAGACACTGGACCACCAGTAACTGAAAACACCACCAATTTGATTTCACACCAAATCTTGTCTCTCCCTTGAATCTCTCTGATATTTTGTGTTTGCATCCGCAGACACGTACATTTGTGCCACTTATCACTGGGTATCTGCACTAGCGTATCAGCCTGGGAGATAAAGCAGAGATTAATGCATTGGCAGACTTATATTTAGACTCTATATGTAATTAACAGCCTCAAGTAAATGGGCTTAGTCAGTCTGCATACTGATTAGACTTTAGTTGAGAAAATGCCCACATCCCAGAGCTCAATTTTTACAGTTTTCATCTTAGTCTTTTTCTTTTTCTTTTATTTTGCTCCACTATGGTCACATGAAACTGCTATTTTTGTCATCTGGTTGTTCTTTTGATCAGCTGTTAGCTTGTGTTACTTGCTTTTCTGAGGTGCTGTCACATTACACCCTTGTTCTCGCTTTCACCACTGTCTACAAAGCACTGGCTATAACAAGTAAATTCGGATTTGGGACATTCCAGCATTACATTGTGGGATTGAGACTGTAACAAGAAACAAGAAAGCCATTCTGGAAACATCCTGGTTTAAATCCCTGCTAATGTTGCTCTTTCAATTTCTCTGTGATTCCCTGAATGGCTTTAAAGCCTTGCTCTCTTTGCCCTAACTGTGATTATAATATATTATATTACTTATCAGTGAGCTGATGCTGTTATCCAAAGTGACTTCCAATAAGTGCATTCAACCATAACAGAAAACCCAGAACAGCAACAATCATGTAAGTACATTAGCGTCAAAGCAAAACTGCAAAGTGCTACATGTAAGTGCCATATATAAGTACGACTTAAAGGTCCAGTGTGTAAGATTTAGGTGAAAGGGAACTATTGGCAGATATTTAATGTAGGATATTCTTCATGATGTTTTCACTAGTTTGTTTCATCTAAATTGTATGAATTGTAGTTTTCTTTACTCCAGAAAATATCCTTTATATTTAAATACTTTATATTTACATTGAGGGGACCCTCTCTACGGAGGCTGCCATGTTTTTTACATTAGTCCAGACTGAACAAACCAAACACCTTTTGAGTTTTTATGACAATTAAAGGCTACCACAGGTTCTTTTTCATGTTTGGAAGGAGAGGATGAGGAGAGGGGTGTTCAGCTGCAACATGCAACTTCAACACTAGATATCACAAAATTCTACACACTGAACCTTTAACATTTTAAATTTGAATTTGAATTTTTACATTGTATTGTATCATCTTCTTTGCCAAGGCGTAGTCGGAAGAGATGTGTCTTTAGCCAGTGGCGGAAGCTAGTTGCTAGTGCTAAATAATAAAATGTGTATTCTTCCTACACCTATATAAATAATCTGCCCCATGTGTTTGAGAAGAGTGCAGGTTATCTACTGCAGAGGAGGGAGTTCAGAGAACGTCCACTAAATACACAGAGCTCTGACCTTTCAGAAAGTTTGAAATGTCACCAACCATTTAGGTAACAGCTTGTGACGATCAGCAACGCTTCCTGATACCCCAATGTGTTACTCATTGTTCATTTAAATGAGTGTAAGCCTATGTGACAGAAGTTTTGATTACATTAGATATTTAAAAATAAAAAAATACTTTCTAGACTCAGTAACAGTATCTGTGCGAGCTGTTTGGTCTGTGGTCGATTGTGTTTTTCTTCGGTTAATTGGCTTTAGTGTTAATGGTTTTATAATTGTCTGATGAAAGGGAGTGAAGCAAAGGAAAGTGTATTATCTCCTGCGCAGCAGACAAGCAGTGAGAAAGTGACAGCCCACCAAAGAAATGTCAAATTAAAAAGCAGAATCTAGTTTCAGTTCTTCTGAGGATAACATCAGCCTGTTCTTCTGACACGGTGAAATATTATAATGAAAGTAGTTTGACTACACTGATCCAGACTCTGGATACAAGTCTGCCAATGGATGCCCAATTTAATTTAGCATTCTACTCCTCCTCCACTTTTCTACAGGAAACAATAACAACCTCCTCAGAGCTAGTAACCTTCATTCTGACAATGGAAAGTTTGGATGAAGATATAGATCTTGCAATTACACAGTCGATATGTCTTCTACTGTTTTCTTGGCCTTTTCTTTAGCAGGAAATCAGCCAATTTAATGACAATGTTCCACCAGAAGAAGATCCCCTCAACGCTTTGTTTTTTGCAAGGGCACCGTCACTGCATCCTGGGCTTTGGGCCAACCAAAGACGATTGTGACTGGTTTAAAGAAAGACGTGTCTGGCAAAAAAAACTGGAAAATGCCAAATAAAAAAGCCGAAACATTTTATTCACGAGAGTCTTCTCTGTGGAAACCTTTGGTTATGTAAACTGTAACAGAAATAGAGAGATTCCTTGAAAGAAAGACTGACTAGAATTATTGATTGATCCACAGGAGAGGAATCTTTGACCATTTTCCTGGACAAGCAGAAGCTGAACAAGAAGTCAGAAGGCAACAGCAACAGTTCAGTGGTGTCCCTGGAGCTGCTGCATCAGTTGGCGGCTTCCTACTTCACAGATCGAGAGAGCACCCTAAGGCGCCTGCACCACCTCCAGATCGCCACCTCTGCCATCAAGGTACCGTACACATGCACACAGCGAGTGACTGGGATTCCTCGCAGTGTACAGATGCGTATTCTTTGCTTTGAAAAATGTCTGTTTAGATATACGGCACGAAAACACACTGTTTGCAGTTTGAAGACTTGTGTTTGCAGTGCTGCAGATTCACAAACAACCCCCCCATCAAGCTCGACGCGCAAACATTAACCCTCCTCTGAAACTGTCCCTCTGGGATATATTTGCCAGTGCTGCAACTATGACAAATAGCTCAGCTTTTTGTCATCTTATGCACACAAACAATCCTTTTCAAAGATTATTTCCAAGGTGCATCATTGCTCAAAAGCTGGGGGAGAGACGGAAGAGAGCGCACAAGGACGTGACATTTTTCTTTTCTTTTTAAAGCGGCAGGCTGGATTAAAAGCTCCAATAGCAGAGAGAGGCTCCATAAGCATGGCAGATGTCTCAATGCGAACACATTCTTTCATTCTTACTCTTCTCTACTGTATTCCATCTGGAATGGGTTCCAGGGCGTGTGTGCTTCCCTGTAGGAGTGTGTGCATCACATGAGACCTAAAAACATTTGGAAATTCTCATCACCTTTGTAAATAAAAAAAAGCTGTTGGACACCAGCAAGAAGTCTCTCATATGATGGAGTATTAGGGCCACATTAAAGAAAACAATATGAGACTTTGAGAATAATAATAAAATATAGTTCAGTGAGACAACTCACGCTCGGATTTGATCCTGATGCCTGCATTAAAATGAGGAACATGGAGCATCTTGTTAAGTTATACTTCAGAAGCCTATAGATCTCACAAATAACACAATACTTAATATTTGGCTTATCAGCAGCACAAGGATCAAGACTTTGAAAAGATTGTGTAACAAAACTGTGTCTATACTAAAGAGAGAGCCGCACAAACTAGAAGGAAATTATGTGGAGGAGGAAATGTTTGGTGGTGGGACGACTGTGAGGTTATCACTGGTTCTGTGTTATGTTCAAAGGGTTTTATAGTTTCACAAGGAACATGAGGGAAACTCTGGCAAGCATTAAATACATTTTCTCTCAATATGACTTTATTATTCAAATAGTACAATTTATTCTCATAATATTAAGACTTTATTCTCATAATGTTACAATTTTATTTTAAATTACAACTTTATTCTCATATTATTACAAATTTATTCTGGTATCTGGTATTTTTTAAGACAACTTCAACATAGCCCTTATATTTTGTCGTAGTCACTAGAAATGCTTGCACATCATTTCATGTCACATAAACAGGTGCTTTCCTTCATTTTATTTACTTGCATACCGAACACTCAACTCCCCTTGAAGTGGTGTAATGTCATCTATCCAAAAATTCACCACCAGCCATTAACTGGCTCTTTTCACCATTAATTGCAACTGGTCCTTTTTTAAAAATCACTCTGGGAACAGATAAAAAATAGTTTCTATTATCTCTTCATCCTGGCTGCGAACGCCCCTACCCACACACATACACACACACACACACACACACACACACACACCCTGACGACTGCAAGCAAAACATAACCAAGCGATACATTATTCACATCAGAACAGATCTGTTGGCTTTCGAGCGGGGACAGCAGGTGTGTGGGTGGATGGGCCTTGCTTTCATGCTTCAACTTAAATAGCAAATGTGGTTTAACCAAGTGATTGCAAGGTGTAAACTTTGAAAGAAGCTGGCTTATTTCAAAGTGCCGTAGCTGAAAATGTGCCGTGCAGTAAGGAACGCAGAGGAGAGGCTCTCATTTCAGTTAGATGATGAAGCTGCTGTTTGCTTGAAGATGTTGCCCTGAAAGAGTTCGACATGAGACATACCTCCTCCACTCACTGCATCCTCCTTTAACCATGAGAGAAAAGTTGGATTATTATGAGAACATGAAAGTGAATTTTAATGCCTAATAAAAAAAAGGGGAATGTTTGCTGCGTGTAGATTCAGGGAATGTAAGGGAAAACCGCATCAAGTCAAACTTTGCTTGAGTCTTAAAAAGAAAAAAAAAAAGAAATGAGATAATCCTGGCATACACAGAGCCATGCATGTTTTTATTGACAAGCTTTATCTCAGCAATACACAACTTTAATATGTGAGCAAAAATAATTAACATAATTGTCATGCCTATTGAAGTATGCTGAGAACATGAATGCTGCATCTCAGCCGTAATACATTATCTGGTGAGCCTGAATGAGTTGATAATTGTGTCTGTGGGGGGAGCCTAATGAGCGACTGCTGCCCTAAAACAATTTGTCCTCTGCATTCATCACAACAATAGCAGATAAATAAGTAATCGACCAGAACCAAGATCTTTTTTCCACTTTAGTTAATCTGTTTTCAGTCAGAGTGCACAAAGTGCACTTTGAACAAACACAACTGCTTGTCTGTTAAACAGCATGTCTGCAGTAACATCAAGTCTCTGACAGTCAGACTGGCTCATTGTTTTAAGTGGAGTTTCGTAAGATAAAGAAAAATTATGTTTAATATCCAAGGTTGCTTCGTTTGATGTGGCAAGTGATTTCAAGAACAGTGGAAATTTGTTAAATCTTCGTTTTTATTGCACATCTTAAATTAATGTGATTTTAATTTCAGGTTTTAGTATAATGAGTCTGGAGAGGAACCATTACAAACCAGGATAACATTCCAAATTAGGTTCATAGCCTCGAGGGCCCCCAAGGTTCACTGTGAACATTAGTTGTACCTATTAATTCACTGCACATTCTTTTGGGAATTTGCACCACATAAATACCATTTCAATTAACACACGTCCAGCATTGTTAACCTTGTGGAGCTGTTTTGTACACGGGTCACATTTCAAATCTAGACGTGGGATCTCGTTAAAGAGCAGCTCACCTATAGCTACAGTGTTGTAGAAGTGTGTGTAAGTCAGTACGTTGTGACATGAGCGTGATGGCACATTCTAACTATGGCGGTTATTTAGTATTTATTTATTTTGCAGGTGCAAAACCATACTCTTGAGGGAGCACCTCTACTCTGGATGTTTGTAAGCTTCCACGAACTGTACATGTGTTCCAGAAAATGAAGGGAGAGAGGGTTGGAAGATTGAAGAGGGCGGGAGAGGAGTGTTCAGAGTGACCAACGTCCTAAAATTCAACTGGAAGGCAGTGTTGAGCAGCGGCCCTGTTCTCATGGTTCTGCAGTTGTGCATGAGGAGCACAGTTGCTCATGGGTACTGTTCTGTGGCCTCACGTCAAATCCAGGGACGTGGTTTTTAAATGCTCAAAATTTAGACTAAATGAATGTCAATATAACTGCCAAATTCAGAAAAGACTGGTCAATGTCTTTATTACTGTTAACATCTATGTTCTTTCCACCTCTTAGATGTATTAATACTTATTGTATATGTACTATTCATGCAGGACGAATACATGCAACCAGACATGAAATTGTTGCCCTAAGTTTTTGTGTCTTAATTTGGTTCAGTTTAGTTCATGTTCACTTACTTTTCCTCGACTCGCTGCTGTTAGTTGATGTTATTCAGAATCAGCAGCTAAAGGACATTTGGATTACTTTTCAAAACTTTTCTAAAGAGTAGAAAGGCCTCCTGTCCGCCTACCTCACACAGTTTTGTGATGGGAAAAGCTTCAGTAAAAGTAACATCAAAATGGTAGGGAGCCAGATGCAACGGCATAATAGTAAGAAGAGAAACGATGCTGCCACAGAGATATCGCACACCCGCGGAGAAAGGTGAAAAAAAAAAGGTCTGAAAATAAAGAGAACCATGAAGTAGCTTGCCTGTATATTGAACATATGGACGACGTATGTTCTACAACCCCGGGTTAAGTACAGTGCCATTCCTTCACTATCTTTCTACTGCATCCTCTCATCCTGAGACAAAACAATACCTCAAACTCAGAAGAAATGTGTAACGTGACTCTTCTGTTTATTGTTCAGCATTTCAAGCTTTCAAGGCCTTGCAAACAAATATCACATATCAGAATTTTACTACAAGAGATGGAGTCAGAGGTTGAAGTAATATTACATAAGGTGTTTTCCTCCATACTTGTCTCTGTTGTCAGAAACTCTTCAGTTTAGCAATTTGAATCAAAACATGATAATAGAAACTGTGCAAAATTATAACTTAACCTATGTGATGGACAACAGGCATCCAATAAAACCCTCTCGGATCACGATGTACCAATTAAGGTAAATCGGTTTTAGAAAACATTTTACTATCTGCATTCAGTGATGAAGTACAACAATCAGCACAAATGGAAGGGTCCTGACCTGTTTTAAGTAATCAAGGCTGTATTTACCATCCTTCCAAAGCATCCTTTCAGAGCTGCTATATTGAATATATCCAAAAGTGGATGTCCTAAAAGTAAATGAAACGTTTGGCTGTTTGCCATTAAATCCTGGAGCCGTTGCCTCCATCATCCTCTGTATGATTCTCTAAGCTGTGCTTTAGAGACAGAGAGACTCCCAGAGATTAATCCTCTGCTAAATTTAATTTATTCAGAAAAACCTTGATTTCATTCTGTTGCACCTTGTTCTCTGAAGTATGTAACTCTCTGTGATATTCCCCTAAATCTCTCTGAACTGTGAGTCAACGGAAATAATTAAAGCCATCAGGAGACAAAGAGCCCCAACCGTGCTTGTCAAATGGGCCGTTGTAGTGTCAGGTCCTGGCAGGTAGTATCATTCAATTTGAGCCTTTATTTGTTTACATTTTGAGGATTTGGTGCCACAAATATGTAGAATTAGCTTTTAGCAGATCCTGTATGCAGTCTAACTGTGGATGTAAAGAAAGCTATCACCAGTGCACTTTGGTACTGAGGAGAATGCTAATTTGCAAAAAAAAAAGTTCCAAGTGTTTTTTTTTCTGGTAATTTTTAAATGGATTAATAGACATTTGTTCAGGCTTAATATTGGAGATAATAATAGCCTTGTAGGAAGGTAACATTAAATTACATCACTTTGTGTTTAATTTCTGGGGGAGGAATATGATGCTCAAGGCAAATTAACCTTCTACAA